GCGCCCCTCCGCGGCGCTGCGGGAAGCCGCGCTGCCCCCCTTCAGCCGCCCGGGGAGGGCGCGAACTTGTGTGTCCGCAGAGCAAAGGACCCCCGGGGCCGCTCTGCCCGGGAATTCGGGGGGTTGTCTTTCAGGTTTGCTCCAGATTTTTGTCGTTCTGGGAGGAAAAAAACCCAAAAACCGCACAACTGTTCAGTGAGGTTTTGTTTCGCTTGTTGCAAGTTACCTGCTGCTGATGGTTGATAATTACTCCTCTGTGCAATGTGGATTATTTTTTGTCCATCCTGCCATCTATACGAAACACACACACACAGAGACACATCTGTATTTTCCCTGCTCTGCTCTGAAGCTAGACATTTTTTTGTGTATTTGAAAATTACAGGGCATAGACCATGCTAATGTTTCACTAGCACGTTCAGAATGTGAATGGTTTAACAAGAGATGCAGGTAAAACTGTTTTTCTGTAGAGGCTCAAAGCTTGAGCTAGCAATTTTTAAAAAATGGTGCATATCTTCTGCAAAAAATATGGCTAATTGCTGGGATCAGTTAAGTAGTATAATAAGGGCATAGATGCATATAAATTATACCCTATTTTATAAATAAACACATATGTGTAATTAAGAATTATTGTATAAACTGTAGATAACAAGTAATTGAGCAAATCCTGAATTGGAGCTATTTATGTTTATTACTAACATCAACTGTGACCCTCAAGTTTATTTACACAAAAAACACTAAAAGCATAAAGGAACAGAAATCATCCTGAAAGACATTTATTGTAAAGAGAAGGCTGGATGCAGTTGTCTCGTGGAGAGGTGAGATGGTGACCTATGTATCACTTTGTCAAGGAAAATCAATTGCCATGCGTCAGAGAAGGGCCTGGCATTCCTTCTTCTGCACTCCCCGTAATGCTCATGGGTACGATGGATGCAGAATTAATGCTGTAGACAGGGATTTTCTCATGGCTGGGAGTTTCTGGTCAATTAAATCTGGAAGCACCTGTGAACTTTGGGCTTGCGGTTTTTTCCAATACTGATCAAGATGATAACTGAGTATTTCTCATTATTTTTTGAAATATTTTTTTCATTATTTAAGTGTTGACTCAAGAATACGGATAAGATACTTGTGAGTGCACTGGTCTTTAAGGAAAGATACGTTTTAGTGATAAGTGTTAGTGATCTAATAGGCTATACAGAATGTGTAACTTTTGGGGCTACCTAGCTTGTCTGTTGCTCTGCAAGTATTTGCCAGTGGTAGTTATAAGAAAAATGTAGGGAACTTTTTTACAGTACAAGCAGACAAATACAAAGACATAGACACAAGCTTCCTGTTATGAATAATTTTTGCAACACTGGAAAACCAGAATCATATGATTTTTGCAGGCCTCACTCTCCTGCATTGGCTTGAAATGGAGAGTCTGAACAACAAGGAATATGTGGGGTTTCTCTGTGCAAAGTAAAAATCAAAGTAGAAGTGTTTGGTTTTTCCTGACATCTATCATTATCGTGTGTATTTCTGATCTAATGTTGCAGAGTCTGTTGAATGGATTAATGTGTTACAAACCTGATGATCCAATTGAATATTTGGAAAGCTGTTTGCAGAAAGTGAAAGAGCTTGGAGGGTCAGAAAAAGTGAAATGGGACACTTTTGTCAGCCCAGAAAAGAAGAGCCTGCCTCCACTCAATGGAGGACAATCCAGGAGGACTTTTTTCAGGAATGGTAATGTATTAAGTATAAACTTTATTGTATTTCTTATACTGTGAGAGGTTTTACATCCACTAGTGAATTATTTTATACTTAACTTGTATAGCAGATCATGCCTCATTCTGATTTTCCTTAGGCAAAGGACTCAAAAAATCTGTTTCCTTGTATTTTGGCATTTGTTTTTCTCCTCTCATAACGGATGCTATGTGGGAGAGGAAATTGTGATAATTTTGCAGCCTAATGATGGATGTTTGCTGTGTAAATGTTTAACATATTATTGGAGAGACTTCTCATATCCGACCTAAAACATTTGCAAAGATAGGGGCAAAGTTGACTCAGTGCACTCGGCTTTTATTTTCAGTTGGTCCTTATGGATGACGTATATAATAACTCCAATGAAGTTACACTAGGTTGTTTTTCTAGTTTATACTGGAGCTATATGCTAATTCACTAAATACAATCTAAATTATAAACTCTTAGAAAAAGGTGCATCTCATAAAATCTAAGCAAATGTCATACCAATACCTGTCATTATTTTATTTGTAATGTTAACAAAGAGTAATTAGCTCATCTTTCAGTTGCCATAGTTATTCTTCCTTGCCATCCAGTATTTCATTAAACTAATTAGCAAGAATACTATCTCTGTCTCTGTGTACACTGTGTATCACCAAAAGAGTTCTGCTTAGTAGTGCCAGTTATCTGCACAATACAAGGCATATTTTCTCAGAGGCCACTGCTGAACTCTGGGTGCTATGGGCAGATTTTCACAGAAAAGCTGACGTGCTTGTAAAGAAGCACCAAAGCAAACTGACTCCTAGTGGTTCCAATTTAATAAATCACCTCAATAGAGGCAAGGAATATTTAATATAGAAACAGCAAGCACATTGTAAAATTATGAGATATTATGATACCTATTTAAATCTGTGTACACAATAGATTCTGAGTTTTATGTCTATTTCCACAATTCCCAGTTTATCTTACTGTTTTACAGTGATGCCTGATAATTCTAACTTCCCATACCGGCGGTATGACCGACTACCTCCAATCCAGCAGTTCTCAATAGAAAGTGACACCGACCTCTCTGAAACTGCTGAGCTGATTGAGGAGTATGATGTATTTGATCCTGCAAGACCTCGACCAAAAATTATCCTTGTCATAGGTATGAAGGCAGAGTCATTCTGACAAGATTTTATCTTTGTTACTTTGCCTTTTTATTTGTACTGCAAACACACTGAATGCCTGTATGGATTTAAATACAAGTTTTTCATCGTCTGTAGCAAGTGATGCAGCCCAATTAGAGTGTATCAGAAAGTGAAATTGTTAGTGCTGAGGATACAGCATCCCAACTGTAAGCATTTTAGGGGCTACAGCGAGCACCTCTGGTCATGTTCTGTAGACTGGATGCCCGTTAGCAGCTGGAGAGCTCATGGTTTGCTTGTGGAGCACATCTGTTGGTTTGATTTAATCTAAAACAAACCCAGTTCATGCATTTCAAGAGAGCTCCACCATGTGAACCAGAGTTCTTCCAAAAGCTCTTCCAAAGCGTGTTCTGGATCTGAACTAAAACGCTGTCACAGATGTACTCAAATCTGCTCACAAAAAAAGGATACTTAAAAATATTGGATAAGCCAGCTCAAAAAGGTGATAGGGAGCTGTTGTCCACTCTGTTTAGAACCTTGAAAACTGATTGGTATGTCCAGCTGGAGCGAGCGCACGTGGTCACTAGTCCATTGTGTTAATAAATTAATCCCTGTCTCTGTTTGGCAAATGAATCCTGTGCTATCTTCAAGGAGAGTGAGTGAGCATTAGGTAATTGTGCCCTCTCCCAAAGTTCTCTCCTGCGTGCTTTCCAAGCAACTCCTACTTTCCAGCCTCAGACAAAGCATGTTGTTTATTAAGAAATAGCTGAGGTTTAATTCTAAATCAATGGTTTATTCTGTTTCTGAATTTAAGTTCATTGAATTAGTTTCCTTGTCATGTGGGATAGTTGCCTTTCGAAATTTTACTGCCAGGTCTGATTCTCTGATTCTCTGGACTGTTTGAAGAGTTATAGCACAGGTGCCAGGTGATAGAGAATCACATTCTTAGTCTATAAAGCCTTATTTATATTAAAGATAGATATTGCTTCCATAACAGAGAATAGTATGTTCTATAGTAAAAGAGAATAGAAATGTTTTCTGTATGATTGAGTGGGATCTTTAAGAACAGCATGTCCTCTAGGCTCCAGAACTGCACCCAACAGTTCTCAGAAATGTGATGTTGGCATATACTGAAAACAGAAAACCAGGCATTTTTCTAGATATTTGTGGTATGCCAAAAGAATTGCTTAGGCATTTGATTTTTCTCTAATCTTTTGGTTTGGAATTACAAATCTCAACATGCAAATCCCTCCATGCATCACTGAACTTAAAGCTTGCATTAGATAGAAAAATAACACATGCCTTTATTTAATCTTAATTAATTAGCTAACCTTCCTTTTCATAAAGAAGGAAAACTGGCTCCTTTTCAGTGACCACAGAAGGCTCTTAATGCACAGAAATCCATGTAACTCTATTGCAGCAGAGTGATGAATGAAGGTTTGATCTAGGTGAAATAAAGAGAGATTGGCTTTCACCCCTGGAACTGTGTACAGCGGTATTTGAAGTGAAATCTTTGAATGTCAGCATATAGTGAATAGACCATGGATTTTACAGAGCTTTTTTTTCTCCCGTTTATATAGGGAACATTGTAAACATTCTGCAAAGGCTATTTCAGGTTTATTTTTCATCTGAATTTCTCTGAATCTGTCTATTATAGTGTGATCTGATAGAAACACAATACTATATGTAGCTTAGCAGCTACTGTCCAATTTTGGACAGTATCAAGAAAATTTCTCCCAAATTCAACTTTCTATTGAGAAAGAACATAAAAACACACACTGAAAAGAATAAAAGAATAACTAATATAGTGATTGAAAGAAAGAAAATTTTAAAAGTATACTATTAATTTCAAGAGACAAATATTATACACAACAAATGTGTTGCATATTTTTCAGTTTGCATAAAATGCCAGCAAAACCTTCAGTTAAGAAAGCTTTTTATATCTGACTAGTGATAACTAACCATCCTGCCTAGCTCAGATGGTACGGGTCCCATTCAGTTGGAGACTGAAATGAATAGAACTTAAAGATCTGTCTTTTACTTTGCATATTAGGTGAACTTTTCTTTAATAATGCATTAGCCCAAGATCTTTTTAATACTTCTATAAAGGTTTTTACAACTTCTTTGCTTTATGAAATCTATCATCCTTATAATGAAGCAAGTAGGTCCGGGGCAAAAAGAGAACACACAAAAGTGGTTGGGGGTTTTGATCTTTTTCTGGGTTTGCAGAAAAGTCTTCTACTGAAATGTAAAGCTACAAAGCAGCAAAATGAGTGTGTGACTGGATTTTAGAAAAATCACATGGAACCAACCGGGATGGCACACATCTGAATCACTGGAAAATTACGTTTCTAAGGCATTAGGAAACCAGATTGTGTTTAAAGATGTGCTTCCCAACATGTTTTGACAAACACATTTTTATTATTGATACAGCCTGAATACAAAGACCTTAAAAAATTAATTACCCAATGTCATTAGCCCCATAGTTTAGTATGTTTTTAAACTGCACTTAATTATAGATATTAGTTAATATGAAAAGAATGTTTTCCTTTTATAATCAAAGTTTAAAGGATAGATCAAAGATAGTCCTGTCAGCAGCTGGCTGGCCTGTTGATTTGTTAAATCCGCTCCACACCTAGATTTTAAAATCATAAGTCTTTTCAGAAAACTTATTATTACATACATTTATTTTGAATTTACAACAATATAAGCAAAATTGAGATTTTGAACTTCCATTGACAAAACTAGATTAAAACAACTGCTTTAGCAAAACTGTTTGGGCATACAAATCTTCTCTTTAAACCAGTTAGCAAACATAATTTTAGATGCAACAAATGTTCCCTAGTCTAGACATCTTCTAAGAAATATGTAAAATAATTACACTTTTCTTGAATAATGTATAGTCTCAGAATAAGTTAAAAGAATGAAAAACAAAAGTGATTTGATTTTCCTTTCTTGTGAACAGTTTGTCGGTGTGATTTATCAAAGAGTCAGGAATGGATGCATAGTTCAATAAATTATAATGATTTGCTGTGGGAAGTAATTTTGTTGTATTACTTTTCTCTTATTTCATTACCTGAATGTTTCCCCTTAGATTGTAAATGGATAATCCCAGCTTGCTATAAAGGGACATTTTTGGACTGAGAAAAACAAAATGTATGAGAAGTTTATGAACATTAAGGAAAATATTTTATTAGTTGATTTTTTCTGCTTGCAAATCTAAATTGAAAGACTTGCCAAACTACACTCTTTTTTTTTTTCCTACTTCTCTTTAAAGGCAAAGGAAAGCCCCTTCTAACAGAAGTGTAAAGTCTATTTACTTGGTTTCAAAAACTATTTTTCGGATATTTTATGGTTTTACAGAGACTGATCTTTTTCCAAGTAATAGTTCTGTTTTTCTGGCATCTTTTGTATCTCTCTTGGAATACGGATATTATTTTCCTTGTAAAATTTTCTGTTTCTAATTTTCTACACATTACCTATGTATGTTTTGCGTCTTTATTGTTTCTGGGATGCAACATAGTATGTTTCAAACTTGACAGCCCTTTCTAAAAAGCTATACGCACTTTTCCATTCGTGGCACCAACATAGCTACACTTCATGGACAATAGGAAGCACAATAGTGATTTTTAAACGACGTTCTCCAAAACTAGACCAGATATGGGCCTACAAGAGAGCTCACAAGTCATAAAGTAGGTCTACATAAAGAAACTGAATTTCCGTCCTCAGAAGTTTTGTAGCTGCAGGAATTAAGCACAGTATTGGCTCCAGTATTTCATAAACCCTTTGCTCTGAAGCACAGTCACAACCTACCGCCCCTTTTTTTCCAGTTGTTAGGATTATTGTCAGTAGATAAAGCTCTGTAATTCATACTAATAAATGTTACACATAAACACACACATATATAAGATACATTACTTATATGTTATCTTTATTAGATTGCAATATATGGCTTTATATCTAGAGAGAGGTTTACTTACGGAAAACTTTACACAGAGTGAGCAGACATTCCAGTAACAAGTAATAATGCTACTCATTCACCCGGCAAACTGCCCCATATGAAGTGGCAACAGTCATCAAACAATTAGCTGCAGTGCTTTGTGCTGTTGTTTTCATGTATGTAAGAAAAAAGACACTGGGACGCAGTTACTCCAAACCTACTATCATTCCAGATTAACAATAAGCTGTAAAATACATGGAATGACCTGGTTTGAACATTGTATCAGATACGTTTTTGATACAGGAGTGGAACACAATGTAGGGTTTGGTGAAATTTGTGATGGGGAAGGCTGAGTGTGTCATGAAAGGGAGCGGGGAGTGCTGAAGCAGAATCACTTTGTAGCCACTTTACTGGAGGAGATGATTCCTAGTATATCAGCTGCTTGTGTCTCTAAACAAGACATATTTCCTCTAAAGGGAAACATCCTTTATTCTAATGAAGAAGATAGCTAAACTGTCTATGAAAGAAAGAGTTCAAGCTGAAAAAAACTAAGCCTGTTTAGATCACCTAGAAGAACTGAAATGGAAGAACAGCTGTAAAACCTAACATAACCTGCTGAAAGAAAAAAGAAAGCATGCACCTTTTTAGGAGAGTAACAGCAAGTAGACTGAATGAGGGAAAAATATTTTTCAGTTGCAACCTTACGGTACAGAAATAAGACATTGTTTTTCTTTAATTTCTTTGTTTGTGTGGTTTATGAACATCTGCAGCTGTATTGACTAGTTGGATGTTATGGAAAAATCCTTGTATTTGTATTTATCTTAACCTGGCTTGATTTAAGCATTATTTAAACTAATTGGATAATTATGAAACCTTTTTTTTTCCCCAAGGGTATAACTAAACTGTGGGCAGGGTGTGGGAACACCTTAACAATACCCAAGTTTTCCCATGCATTCTCTTCAGATGGGTCCCCATTTGAGTTGCAAAGGCCAGGTGGAGAGTTACTGTCACAGCAGCAGGGGTATGGAAGAGTTCCTAGTGACTACTAGTGACACTGAAAGCTCTCTGACATGTAATATTGGGACACAGGTTTGAACCTGGTCACACAGAGAGTATCGTTACCATATATGAAGACATATTGTAAAGCTTATCCTGTAGTTAAATCTGTATTAATTATATAAATGCTTCCCCAAAGCTATGGGAACAATACAGACAAATAGGAAAGAGTTATATGATTGCTAACAAGAAGCTTGTATTCATATTTACTTTCTTTGCATTGTTGTATTTTTTAATGTTCATAGAAAACCTATGTTATATTTTTAATTAATTCTTTGCCTGTTGAAATAAAATTCAATGTTCTCACACACAATTCCCCAAAATATAGCTAGTGTTGGGAATTAATATTAAAAAAATTATTTTGGTTTTGCTTTGTTATGTTATTCAGTAGTGTACACTTTTCTATATGTAAACATTTATTTTTATCAAAACAATTCGCTATTTTTACATACTAGATTTCAGTTTCCCTGTTCCTCACATCATAATGTGTTCTTTTAGTTCAGACATAATCTGATTTTTTTCTACATGCATTCTTGCTTCTGCTGTCCAGCTGACCTGTCACTTCAGCATTTCCTGCTGTGTAATGTAGCTGGTTTTTTTGTCATTTTCAGATCTATTCTGCCCTATGTTGAAGGGTCTATTTATTCTTCAAGTTGTCCAGCAAGCTGAATCTAACAAATTGGTTCTCTGTCAGATGCTTCAAGCACTGGTACCAGAAGTATGCGTGGTTCAATGAAAGTCCTCGTACCAAATCACTATGGAAACATCTCAGATGATTATTTAATATTTTCCTGTATTTTAAAATTAGAAGACCTCAGGAACTCATGCAAGCATATTTAGGTGCTGATTTTATTAGTTGCATTTCATGACTAGTCCACTAATGTCATTGGTTTATTTAACCAAGTGTGATTCTTTCTGAGATGAATATACTTCAGACTATCTCGCTCTATCGTTAGATTCAGAGTTCAAGAAGGGACCAGTTCATTTATCTCTTCCTCTACTACAAATTGAGAAAAAATCCTTCCCAGGAACAGCTTTAGAATGAGGTCAAGCCTAAAAGAGCATGTTTATTTTTAATTCACAGGTAGATTTGTATTCTTTCCTTTTTTTTTTCTTTTTTTTTTTTTACTTAATTTTTACAAACCATTACCTTTGTGATCAGGTAGATGAGACCCATTTCTGGTGGCTGGTAACAAGCCCTGCAACTGCAATATCTGCTCTAATAATGGCTGGAAAATTGGTGCCGATAGCAAAGATTTCACATATGATTGGGTACTTTAGATGAGAGGTTAATTTAATGTTTTGCTTATAATTAACAATAGGTGGCCCAGGAAGTGGTAAAGGAACACAGAGTTTGAAAATAGCAGAACGTTATGGATTTAACTACATATCTGTTGGTGAATTGTTAAGGAAGAAGATCCACAGCACAAGCAGCAATAGAAAATGGAGTCTAATTGCCAAAATAATTACTACTGGAGAACTGGCCCCTCAGGTACAGCATATCCTGTATTAGTATTTACTTTCAAAGGATTTGTACTTGCTGTATTAATGTGCACCATCAAGAAAACCTCCTTTACAATATTAAATAAATACTTTATTTTCTCTGTGAAAGGAAACAACCATAACTGAGATAAAGCAGAGATTAATGCAGATCCCTGATGAAGAGGGTATAGTGATTGATGGATTTCCCAGAGATGTTGCCCAGGCAATCTCCTTTGAGGACCAAGTAAGAGATGGTTTTTATTCTTAAAATAACTTATGTCTACAACAGTTAAGTTGCTTGAAATCGTCAGTCAGATTCCAAGAAAGACTAGATGTTATTTCTAACTGAGCGTTGCTCTTTAAATCTTTGCAAGTACATAATTACAGGTTGACAAAAATTTATTATTTTGGTTTACGTTATGTTATGTTCTGTCTGGAGCCAGTATTTTGTAAAAAGGCCATGTGATAATATAACCAATAACCCAAGCCTCCTGTCTCAGTAATGAAAATCCTCTCAAGACAAAGAAAATAACATCAAATCAAATCTAACAATTAATATTTTTTTGTATCTCAGTGATTTAGAAATGGGGAAGATATTTCTTTATTTATTTGTTCAATTTAATCTACACTAAGAGGCACATACCTAAAACAATGTGTATCTTCACAACACTTCTAATTTCAAGTTTATTACAGTGCATTGAAAAGACTGGAATAAAATAGAGGTTAAAACCATCCATGTTTTGTAAGTTTTTGTAAACCAGAAATGATGTTCTTTTTTTAGAAACTTACATAATTTTGGTTATTCTAAACTACAGTTGTAAGGTTTAGTCAGCTAAAACTGTATTCCCGAGTTCTGTTCACGTGTTTTTTTAATGTGTGTATTTTAAACTAATCTAAAAATACTTAAATGCAGTGGAAAAACAAACAGCTTATGTCATTTTCTGATCAAGTGCTGTTAACATAACAGTCAATGGTCACAAGTAAGGGTTGCGGTTTCAGTGCTGAATTTTTAAAGGACCCTTCATGCAGAGCATTTCAAAGTCCTTTACAATTGCCAGTGTACTACCATTTCTGTACTTTGAATTCGAAGTGGCATCGCCAAAACAGAAGTACCAAAAGAAAGCAGCTAATGAGGCATTTCATTAGTGTGCTTTTACAAGGTATTATGCTGGGCAAAATTTAGAAGACTGCATTCAGGAAATTAAAGGAAATGGACAAAATAGTTATTACAGAAAATAGCCAATGACTGCCAGCTACATCTCCTGATAATTAACAAAAGATAAGATTGACTATTTTATAAGTGAAACAGCAGAAATTTAGGTTTAGTGGTAATTTCCTTGTCTCATTTTGTGTGATAGTGTGACTTAAGTGCATTTCTTGGTGCTATAATTCTGTGCTGATGTTGTGTTTGATTAAAGTGTGGGTGATGTGAAACTGGAAGAACTGACAGGAGTTAATAAATTAAGTACTTCTAGTTATCCTATGGTCAGATTCTCCTAGAGAGGAAAACCAGTAACAACTCTCAAGCACCCATCATAGGGTCCATTAGTAATACCACTAAGAAGTGGAGTCCAGGAGGCAATAGCAAAAGCTCAGGTAATACCATGCCATAGAAGGGGAGAAAGATGGACACTATGTTTCATTTTATGTTTGAACCTCCCACTGCACCATTCTAATAAGCTTTATAGTATTTCCTAACTTAACTTGAAAATAGTCTCCTCTACCAGCCTGGTTGGCTCTTGTTGACTATAGAAAACTACGTGGAAAAAAGACTGACATCCTAACTTTGGCTCCTTTTTAGTATGTGCTATTGCTCCAAGGATGCTGTAGGTTGGTGGTTGTTTTGGGTTTTTTTCCCAGAGAAAAGAGAGGATGGATTTAGTAATTTTAGACCTGACTATACTTGAGAGTTCCTTTGTTTCCGTCTAATGGGATTTGCTAAATCATACTCCTCAAGGCCCGATTCTGCCTGAAAGATAGATGACTGAGTCTCTGAAGAAATCCCAGAGTCCTTCATATAGGGCCACCTTTCAGTCTTACCCATTCTGAAATACGTATGGGCAAGGAAAGAAGGAATCAGAGCTTTTGTAGGAGCATAGGAAAGAAAATTTGGTCTGTTTAGGCTCTCCGTATTTCATCTTTCTTTGCATCTGACCTCTTATATGAGCACGTCTAAGGCCATGGAAATAAATGTACAAAGGATGTACCTGTTTCAACATACATCTGCCTAATCCAGTGGGATAGGTTCAGTGTTTTATCTTGGCTTTATATTTTAAAGAAATAATATATGCTTGTTGTGTCTTTAAAATTCTCTGTTTAGTAAGCGATAATGCTGCACATGTAACTGGGAAGGTCTTGTGGTAAGGAAAGACTATGAGCAGACGTGATATCCGTCTTCACAGGATGAGGCAGACAGTAATCGGTGGCATACCATGTTATTTACATTAAGCGTGCTAACATTTTGAAGGCACTCAGAGATCCCTCGATGGGAGCTGCAATTGAATTGTGGAGAATTCAGTAATTAAGTGTTGTGATAATTTCTGTAGGTGTGCAATTAAAGGTGCTTCAGGTGTTTTCCACAGCTTAGAAATATTACAGCTTTCTTGCTAGCAGTGTGTAGAAGAACAGAACAGAATTGTTCTCATTAACGAAAAGTGACAAAATGATAAATAATTAGTTGAAATTTCATCAGAGAAAGTTTTGATTAAATAGTAAGACATTTTATAATTAGAAGATGTATTAAGCAATAGAACATCCTTCTGAAGAAAATGGTGAAATCCCACAAAACGCAAATAGTCCAATCACATTATTGTGTAATAATACGCCTTATTCGTACAAAGATGTCCCTTGTAGAATACTGAGCTCTGTTGATAAAAAGTTGTGAATAAGAACTAATTCTTATTGTTATCATTAATTTTGTTATGGGTGAATACTTATACTTACAGATGGTCCCTTTAAGACCATTACATGATTATGTACCAGAGAATGGTAGAAACAGTTCTACGAAACAAGCCACTTTACAGGTTACATTTAGGGGAACTGCCAAAAGATGTATGAAGTAGGGGTTACTATTTATTTAACTGTTTTCCCTCGTTTGTCATCCGTTCACAGCTGTTAATTGTTTTGATTACAAGTGTTCTAGAATGCAGTTTTGTGCTTTTGAACAGTGACTTTACATTATTATTTGTTCCATAAGGCAGCTAGAACACTTTTGGATTTTATGATGTAAATTAAAATAATGTTGCTAAGTTTGTATAAGGGTAAATAGAATATGCTGGCTTTCTCAGTTCTTTCAGCCATGTAGGATATAAAGTAGATGTCAGTGGGAGGAATGAGCATCAGGGACAAGGGTGACTGTTCATTTATTCTTCATCATTTGAATGTATTGGGGTGGGTATTCATCTGTAATCCCACGGAAGCTTGAAATAAACAAAGAAGTATTCAAAAGAAGTAGCATCTTCCACTGTATAGCCTTTCTTCTTTGCCCTTGTTTGCAGAGACAGAAACAAATTCCAAGAAAATATGTAATAATACCAAAAATAAATTGTTGGGGGGGGAGGAGAATGTGAAGGACAAGTTATTAAACTGAATAGAAATAAAGATGAATAATACAAGGTATTGAGAGAGTAGGTAAGGCTGGAACAGAGACTGAACAAATGTGAGGAAAATAGGAGGTCTGTGAACAAAACAGGCTAGAAAAACTTAACATCGTTATAGGTCAAAAAAGCATGTCTGGGCTTTATTAATCGAAGACTATATTGCTTTGTTATCCACATGTTGTTCCTCTTTGTGAGGCATGATCAAGAAAGTATCTGGTCCCAATGTCACGTGAAGGGCCAGGAAGTCAAAACTTGGACTTGATGTGAGCTGGCCACAGTGGTCAGCGGAAGGGGGACAAGGAAAGAACTTGTACGCTTTTTGTTCTAAGCCACGTCATGTCCCCTTTCTCCACTAGTGTATGTTGTGGACAGTAGATGATGAACAACTGAAAGGCAAGACACAAAGGGCATAAAATCTATCTTGCTCCCAAACACTAACGCTATCGTTCCTGAACGCTGTTTACTGAACCTTTTTGTACAATATTATTACATGGCTTTCACCAGGAAGCACTGTGTGAGTTACTGTAAAGATAAACTAATTTGTATTGGAGATGGTTCACCGTATTAGTAGAGGAAAAGCAAAAGGTCAGCTAAGGTGCCTGGTTCCTCTTGCAAGCACATGTAGAATCTAACTGTGCTTTGTTTGCTGATGTCTTTAATGTAACAAATTATTTATGCTAAAATAATCCCTTCAATTTTATGGCTCACATAGCTGTTACTGAGACACTATTTGAGGTTTCATAATCTCTTAATTTTGTGAAATAATCAAATGGATACATATATGTTTTAATAGTACCTGTCCTATGTAATGTTCTATTATAGAAATACACAATGATAATGAATTCTTGTTGAACTTTGCTAGGTACTACCAGCACATTTTTATCCCTTTGACTAATCCAGAAGCTGAACTTTTCTCTGGGAAAAAAAGTTATTTTTAGTGAGCAGGTCAAAGCAACCCAACTTATGCTAACATTCCCAAACATAGGTATAACTAAAAGATGACAATTTCCTCCCTGTTACGTTGCCAGACTGCACATTGTGGACAGTAAGTTCTCAACGTGTTGCTAGGCAGAATTGTATTAAAACACATTGCATCTCAATGACTAAAGTGCCTAAGATAATACCATATATAATTTGCAGTACTCACAGTATTTCTCTTTCTGCTCAGATCTAAAAACTAGAAGTAACAAACACTGCTTTCAAGCACTAATGTCAGTCTGGAATAAGTGGATTAAAAAGGACTTTACACATCTGAGGAATTTTACATTTGAATTAAAGCTTTTTCCCCCCCTTCTCTTTTATTGAGTTTTGTTAATATCATCCATATATTTTAAGCAGGAAAAGAGTCTTTAAGATGGGATCAGCAATGTTTTCAGATTTTCAGCAGTGCTTGCCAACCAGCAGCAACTCTGCCATTCTGGTCACTTCCTTACACCAGCTTAATTTCTTAATGGTCAGTCACTCATTGCAGCATTGCAGCCTGTGAGAACTCAGCCATGAGCACTGCAGTTTTCTCTTGAGTTTCTCTCAGTTTTCTCTGAACTTCTTATCTGAGTTGAATTAAGGCCTGTATTTTTCTCTTTGAAGACTGAATACGTGACGTAACTTCTCTCATTGGAAGTCTTGGACTGTTGCCAAATCCTGA